GTAAAATTATTGCTAACTACAAAACATAAGAGACGTTCCTTCTATAAATTTTAAGATAATACATATTAAGACTATCGAAAAATCAAACGGTAACTTTTATTTTAAATCTATGTGACTGTTAGCTTATTTTTGAGAGAGAAAAAATGATATCCATTTGTGGTTTCTGATCGACATAAAATGCGGTAAATACATTTCTGAATTTTAATGTATTACAAAGAATTTTTAAGTTACCTAGTGTACGGGAGAATTCAGATTACAAATGAATTCCTGAATCAAGTATCGGGGGAAATTTGCTTTCGTGGAGGACTATTTTGATGAAACTAGCTCGCGTTTGCGTTACATAGGGAGGAAAACTACGAAAACTTTCCACAATCAGTGTGACGGCAAGAAGACTATAACCCTCAATATAACCATATCATTAGCATAACCATATTATAGAGCAAAATGGTCGATACTATGGCTCTAGTTAAACATGGTTCATTTTATTTAGGTTGTACAAGACTTTGGTTCTAAATTCCGATATTATGATTATTTTTCTGAGTGTGAAGGTTCCCTAGGTGAACAATTGCTCTGAAGAATTAGAAGGATGCTTTGAAATTTTCTAAATATCGATTAGAATTTACTATAAAATTATTTTTAGACGCTTTAAAAATATTCAATTTTATAGAAATTAATTGCGGAATCTGAACTGTTATTGTTAAGAATTGGGGTTCAATCCCTAGCTTGGAGCCCACCCAGCGTCAGATCGATGGATACCAGCTGGTCTAGGAAGTAACAGTGACCTGTGCGCAATGCTGGCCACATTGCCATAATCATACAGTTGGTCACGAAATTGTGAATCCTTAAGATCCATGACCCCCTGGCCCACAACGGGATGCTGCGGGAATCCTCCACTTTTTTAATTGAAGAATCATTTAAATATTGAAGTCTGTATCAAAATAAGTATAATTAAAACATGCTTTTTCTGTAATTTAAGGGCCGATCTGAAAGTGTATCTCAACAAAAATTAAAAACCAACTGTTTAAAAAAAATTTTAGAGATAAGATTGCAATGATAAGTGTTTTTATTGCGAAGTGGGCGTTAATACAGAAAATTTAGAAACTCGTTATCTTGTAGTGAAAGCGATGAGTGATATGAGGATTATTCAGGTTTATGAGTGGACACATTTAAAAAAAGATAGTATCGAATTTACAACTTCCTGAATCTCAGTTTCTTCTCTTTTTTCACATCAAAAGAGTAACTCAAATCTTTGTCCTATTTTTTTCCCCTAGCTATGTTACCATGAAAACAAAGGCAAACCTTACTTTTGTTGCCAGCCGATTGTTGTGACGTATTAGAGGGTCACATATTTTGCATGATTTACGTGAGGCATGGTCATATTCAAGCATTCTTTTCTTAGACTACACCCTAGTTTATAAACTGTATGCTTGGCTGCTTTTTCACTAAAAATCGGCGAGCGTTGATCGTTTTATATAGAATTTTTTTCCCAAAAGGTGTTTAAGAGATGAAATGATACACTTTATTGAGCAGGGAAATGATGGATATTTTTTTATTAGAAAAAAAAAAGCATTTTATCGTATAATGTGATAAAAATATCATTTCGTTTTATTCTATAGAATTCAGCGTTCACTGTGAATGACGTTTGAAATTTCATGCGTGATTCAATTGATAAATTTCACGGAAATGTTTCTATTAAAAACTTTCTCTATTTGTATAATATTTAAAATGATCTATTTTTACTTCATTTTAGAAACATTTTATTAATTTGAAGAGAGATGACTACATATTTCGTTATCACTTTATTAAAAACTTGAAAAAGGGACCATTAAATTACTCAGCCCATCTTTGGGTGGGGACTTATTATGATGTTGAGGTATTTGTGTAAAATCTCATCAACTGGGAGGTTTATGCGCGCATTTCACCAAATTGACACCAAGTCGTTTCATATTGTAAGCAATGCATTTTTAATGGGAATTAAAGCAAAACAAAAAACAAAAAAGAAAAGATTTAAAAAGAATTTCTGCTTTTTTAGAACATACGATAAAAAAAAAATTTGGTGCGATTCATTGCGAAATAACTCAAAATAAAAGTACTTTAAATTCATTACATTATAAATCCTTTCACCAAACCTTAAAACACTTTGAATTCATTATACCTCAAAAAGAAAAAATATATATTATTTCATTATTCATTCATAAAAAATATATATATTCATTATTGGCGGAAAATCATTTTGTTTGGAGATATTGTTTGGTCAAGTTATAAATGGTCGACGAAATTATACACAAGAATGGTTATTGAGAATTTTCCTTTTTTCACCTGGACTAATCGAAGTGTACCTGGATAAAGATAAATTCATTACCCTCCTTAAAAGTGAATATTTGTTTTTCTTGTGTAGTTTTTGAAATTGTTCATTTCTTAATTAAAATTTGAATAATTTATAATGACTCAGATAAAATAAAAATAATAACATTTGGTACATTTTAAAGTGAGGGGATCAAGTTGAGGGTATTTTATTATAGACTATGTCAACCTTCAGCTATCAAAAGTTACCTCTAGATCGAATCGAGTAAACATGTCTTATATACTAGTGAATTGGTATTTAATATTTGTAGTGGTAGTTATACCACAAAGTCACTCAAAATAGTTATCTCAGTTTTTTTTAGAAAGTTTAGGGGACTCTTTTAGACTTCCTTTATTCAGCTTTAATTGTTTAAGAAAATTTTCTTTTATGATAAGTAAGTTAAATTTTTAAAATTATAAAATATCTTTTTTTTACCTCTTATTGACTTACAATGTCTTAATTTCTGTTCAGAAATAAAAATATACACAAGAAACTGATAAATAAAAGAAAATATACTCTAAATAGGATACTTGAGAGCGGGTAGCTAAATGTGGTATTCAAAAATGATTTCCATTATATTTTTTAAAATCATATTTGTCAATTTTCCATAAAATATTGTGAAATGTTGCAGCATTTTCTGTATCCCTATAAAAACTGGAATTAATTCTGGCTAATAATTATTTATTTTTATGTTACCCTTATTAATTACGAGTATTTAATGAATTAGTAATGCACAACTGTAAAATATTTATCCTTTCAATATCCCACAAATAAAGTTAAAGTTTTAGTCTTATCCAGAGTTGATTACCATAAATTTTTGAAGTTTTACAATATGTTCTTAGATCTTGAATGACAACCACGACCTTCCCTTTATGAGCTATTCAAATGAAACAAGTAATTTGTAGTTCTATTTTGAAATGTCATCGAATGTCTTAAAACAAAATGTTAAAAATATTCTGAGGCTAGTTGTGGTTAAGTCTAATTTACTTCGACATTGTTCACTGTAAAATAATTTTATGTATTATATTTTTAAAAAAAATTTACTCTTCTCTGCAAGGGAACGAATCTATATATTCGTACTTCTCGACAGCTGCATGTTTACTTACGACTTTACATCAACAAAAAATAATAATAATAATAAACGAAAAGATCCCCCCATCGTAGAAGAGTAACTCGTGTTACGAGAACGAGGGATATTTTAAGAATTGCACAACAAGGCCCATGGAGGTTTTTTAATGAGCTATTTTATTGAAAAATCTTATAAGTATATACTGCTTACTGTTGATAAAAGAAATGTTGCATAGCTGGATTGAATTGAAAGTTAGAGAAAATATTAGTTTATTCGTTATATTTTGTTCTTTTTCACGTTTCAGAATGTATGAGAGAAGAAAATTGAATTCCTGTTTATAAATAATCATTTTTTTAGTACATGCTCATGTAGTATTCCCTGGAATTATAACCTCACTATGTTCTTCGCCATCTTTAGATCAATTATTTAAATTGTTGAAAACTTTGAATTCTTATTTTTTTATCTCTACAGGTAATAATTACATTTTTAAATCAATAGATAAAGCCAGAAGTTGTTACTTTTATATAAAATTTTGTCTGTAAACCGACCATAGATTGCAATATAACAGTACACAGAATTTCCAGCACGAAATAAATAATAATTAAATCCCCTTTAAACTATTAAAATGAGCTTCTTAACCCCATGATTTACTCTTTAGGTTACAGAAAAAGTTATGGACGTTTTATTTGGTCGAGATATTTCATTTTAAATTAAAAAATTAAATCTGTAACTAGACGATAAACTTAAGAGATTTGTTGATTCAAACGTGATTTTTAAAGATTATTTATTGCTGTAAAGTATTCCTATTTGTGATTGGTTATAAAAATATTAAATATTTATGGTCGAAAATTATTAACCTATTGTTCAAAGAATTATTAAGATCTAACTTTTATATACATATGGTTAGGGTTTAACAAAGGAGCTGTTAATGTTATAATGTTTTAACGCTAGAAAAGCGGTCTTTTTTTCATTAAATAAGTCACTCTTCAAACTTGTATGAATAAATTGTGAATTAATAACTTGTTATTTAGCATGTGATAAATAAATTGTTATTGAGCATTAGAGTTAATATATAAGTCGAATCGTAACTGTGTACTAGATATAGTTTATAAATAATGACTCTTAAGGTTTATCAAGATTAAGCCATTTTGTAAAAGATCAGAATATGAAAATGAACAATTTTATTTGCTTCCTTCCCTCTTTGTAATGTTAGATTTTCAAGGTGTTTACCTTCTGGCAAATGGGTTCTATGGTCCAGCCAGAGTTTTGCACTGTATAACCACTTCTGGATCTTGGGCCTTTTATTATCTCTTATGCAATGAATTTATTCTAGTATTAAATGTTACAATGTTGAAGAGGTTTATTGAATGTTACAAATAAACTTTTAAATGTTTATCTGTCAATTATGTGAACTCTCAGAGAGAGAGATTGTGAAGTTAAATCAATTTTCAGTGAATGTATTGTGACACTCTTGTGTATTCAAGGTGAAATAGATAATCGTCATTTATAACCTTTTTTTGTCATAGTTAAAATTAATTTTTGAAACTTAAATCAAATATTATAACCAATGAAATTTTTGTTTTTTAGAATGGAGGAAGTCTACGTCATCCGCTTGCGGGGAGTACCTTCAACATCAACTTCAGAATCTTCATCAGCTGTTGACACAAATGATCTCATTCGTGGATCAGTCCTCGGTCTAGGCGTTCTACACTGCATATTTGGAATCCTGGTACTCATCTTCGGTGCCCTCAAGACGACACTGGAGCACGAACCTCCCGCTACAGTTTTCGGAACCTTATTTGGCCCGGTTTTTGTCGCCACTGGCCTATCTGCTATTATGTCCTGGAAGCGTCCTTTTCGCAAACTCAAAATTAAAGTCTTCTTCGGTTTCTCAGTCATTTCTTTACTCAGCTCCGCGACATTTCTTGGATTTTGCTTATTAGGTGTTGTCTATTTTCATAGTGTTCCACGTGTGTTTGGCGAAGGAGCTCACGTGACCGCCAATGCTATAATATCAGCTCTTGGCGAGATGATTGTCGCTGCTCTGTCAGTCTTGACCGCTGGCAGTGCAGTTTGGAAATGCTTGCAATGCGGTGCTTTTCGACCAGCAAATCTACAACAGCAGTCTACCCGTCAAAAAGTCATCGTCAAAACTGACATAGTCGGTGGTCAGTCAGCCGCTGAAATGCAGGGGGCACTCCACGAGGAAATGGTTCGTCATGTTAGCCCTCACTGTATTATTTCTTTGCGCGCCACAGATGAGCAAAGAAATGTGATTAAAAAGGTCCAAGAGTACCTTCATTCTCAAGATGAGCTTAGTTTTACGTTTTCTGATCCCAGCACATTACATGATGAACAAGATTTGGGTGTCGACTCTCAAAACTGGCGAAATGATGTTATGTCTGTGAGCTCGAACAACGGCATTCAAAATATTGAGCAGAATGATCAGAACACAGATAATATTTGTCAGAACTGTGCTAATAACGATCAAATTAGAGACCAAAGTATTCAAAACAAAGATAAAACTGTTCAGAAGACTGATACATTGCCAGATGACAGCATACCATTATAGTTTTTTAATCAGATAGTATGCTTATAATAAAATAAAGCTCTGTGATAGTTTTATTGTCATAGAAATTTTCTGGGCTGATGTGCCATATTCGAAGTTTCTATTAAATGTACCGATTTGTATTGTTTTAGTGGAATATCATTTCAGTTGTACTAATTTACATAAAATTTTGTGTAGTGAAATTTACTTTGTATGATACATATTGTTTAAATGTTGACAAAAATGGCACCAATACACAATTGTTCGTTTAATAAAGTGTTTTTGAAATTTTAAAAGTTTTTTAAGTAACGAATGTATCAAAATTGTACAGGGACGCAATATGATCTGTTCCAAGATTGTTGTTCCAACGAAATTATTGTTCCATTGGATAAATGCAAGTTAATCGTCCCCATTTTTTCCATTCTATGCATTCCTACTTCCATTTTGAGTCAGAGGCAGTTGGTAGAAATATTTAATTTTATTACTTCGTATGCGTGTAACATTTTAAGAATCTGATGCCATCATTAGCTTTTGTGCTAACTTAGTACTCAGACCACTCGTATCAATGTCATAAAGTTTCTTTCTTTAAATAAAAGTTGTCGATGTGCTTCATTAAAAGTTTAAAAAGCTCCCTATTTTTGAACATTTTGTTTAAAACTTTGCTCAGCAGAGAGAAAGTTTTATGATTATCCAGTAAAACGTTTAATTATGAATAACCATATGAACTAGTATTTTTTTTTAATAAACATCTAAGAACTGACATTTTTATTTTCTTTTTCAAAAATAAGAAACAGTGATGAGTCTACAAAGGTATCTATGTTTATTATGTATCTTTGCATACTTATTAAGCATTTATTATTATTATTACCTTTGCCGGTTTTGAAATTATTTAGAATTTTTTTTATTTTTCCGCAAAACATAAATTAGCGTTTAAAAAAAGAGCCTGTGAAGATCATAGTTGTGGAATGAATTCATATAGACTAGAACGAAAATTAGGTTATAAATTTGTGTTTGTTTTGTTTAATGGCTGATATCTTAGAAAAAAAAGTTAATTCCATTAGTAGTTAAAAATTAGTATTCCATTAGTATTAAAAGTTAATTCCATCCATAACTTGTAGCGCTAATTTTTTTTTTTTTTGCTTTATTTTTTGCCAGGTTTTAATTTTACTTCCATTTATTTTTTATTTATTTCCAATTTTTTTAATATAAATAAACTATATTTGCATCAAATTTTAAAAGTAAATATTTAGTTGCATATTTAATATTGGAAACAAACTTTAAATGTAATTTGTCATTGAAAATACTATATCACGTCGAAAAATTCAGGAAAGCTTAAAATTATACTTGCAGCTAGAAAATTATAACAAAATTTCCCGGTTGTTCTTATCGTCGGCTATTTACAAAGAAACACTCCCAAGCAGAACTTTTATAAGTATACAGGTTAAGTTTTACAGGTATTATTGTAGAAAGACTGATGGAGAATCCACAACCTGAAAAAAATGCTGCTAAATTTAACTGGTAAAGCTATAAAAAATTAATAAAAATCGATATTTTAAACTCCAAATGCAACCTAGCGTGATGAGAATCAAAGAAGAAAAAAAGAAAACTCCTATTTTCAAAATTAAGTATTCAAGTTTTCTCTGTGGGATTTGAAATTTGTGGGAGAGTAATTTTGCCTCCAAAACTATTTGAAATCCGATTAAAATATACATTTTGTATTTCATAGTGCATTTTCACTTATTCTTTACACGAAGTTAAGCGAACAAGCAAGAAGCTTTAATTTTTTCATGTGTTTCCGAAAGAATAGTTTTTACATTTTTTTTAAAAATCTAATCAGCATTACTTTCTTATTTTTTCCTTATAAGTAAAGTGTGTTTGGTGAAACATGTCCTTTTTTGGTTTTTGTGCTACTAAACCCTACATTCAACTCACTTCCTTATAAGTAAAGAGTATACGCTATTTTATTGAAAAGTATTGTTGGTGGAATTGTTTTTTTAAACTTCTATTTTTTAAAAAAATTATTGTTAACGACTTACAAAAAATTTTTTTTTTCATAATAGATAAATATTTTCAATAAGGTATATCTAGTTTTCTATTCAGTATTTTTAGTACACAAAAATAAAAAAATTGCCAAGTTTTGATAGTTGTAGGATTTCAGGAACTCTAACTATATTTTCAATATTATTTTGCTCCACTATATATATATTTATCTAGCATCTAAAAATTTCAGTGTTTTGCTTGAGAACGTTTTTATGTTAGCAGGTCCCGTACTAGCACTCAATTAAGTAACCAATCAATCATAAGGATATAAATATAGTTTGGTCATCTTAAGTAGTTCTATATAAAATGTCATACTACATCTTTTTTCCATTTTAAACAAAACTTTAAAATTTCGTTTTTTTTTCTTTCCTCATTTGTGAAATATTTTGATTTTTTCTCCTCAATCTTGCCTATTTTTTTAAGTCATTTAATCTATTTATTTCAATAGTTTTGTCTTCCTATCGATGCTTCTCTAAAAAAATTATTTTCTCTATTATGGTACGCCAACATTTTTACGTCAATTTAAAATTGAAAGATTAAAGAATTCGATATGTGATTTTTAGAAATTTACTCATTAAAAGAATAAAGAAATGGGTATTAAATGGTAGAAGGACAAAACAACTAATTATTCAAGTAGATGTTTACTATTTTAACAACTTATTAACTTGTGCTCTACGTCATTCTTTTAGAATGGTATAACAATAACTCTTTTACAACCAATCTTCAACTAACGTTAAAATTTCGAAGAGAAACCGCTTCCGTTCGTCAGACTCAAAGTTCGCAGCGTTCAAATGGTTTAGTGGCGTCATCTATGGTAATGTATGTAAACTAATCTAAAGAGAGATTAACCAAGAAAAATACTTTTTTAAGTTTTTAGAGAAATTTAAGTAATTTTTAATTCGGTGGCAATTTTTACATTTACACAATGAAATTTTCTCAATTAATTTCAAGAATTCGCTTATACATATTTTCAATTATTGATTTTCTGAAAAAAATTTTAAACTTAAGTTTTGTGCATCAAATTTTAATTTGTAAATGAAAATTAGGAAAAGAACTTACAATATTTTAATTAGTAAATCATGATTTAATATGAGAGCATGAAAACTAGTTTTATTAGGATTCCAAATTCATACTTTTTTTTTCTCCTGATATTAGCTTAAACTTGAAAATTCAACTTTTGACTTCAATTTAAATTTCTGACGAAAGGGATTCAATGTGGGACATTAGTATAAAAAAAATAAAAAAAGTGCAATAAATTGAAGCTTATCTTTAAAACAAAGTATTTATAGTTGACATGACTTTTGGGGTAGCAAGTATCTTCTCTCCACTTACAAACGTCCTTGATTGCAAACGTATACATCGTACATTAAATAATTAATAATAATTTTCTACTTTTACGAATGATAGATTCACTATTTAGTCTCCAAGGTTTATGAAATAAGAGTAAGAAAATAATATATAAGTTAAAAAATTGTCTTGAAATAACTAATCAATAAATTTAACTGTTTTTAATATTTTTTCATATGAGACTACTTTACCTCGTCTAAACTATTCCTTNACATTACAGAAAGATATGATAGAATAGATTTTTTTAGGAAATGTTTAAACCAAATAATGAGATGTGGCAAAATTTTTTATAAAAAAAAAAAAAAAAAGGAAAAGAAATTTTAACAATTTTAAGCTACAATAAAGTAAATTTATATAGACATTTTTAAGACCCTAGGTGTGATTAACACCTGCCTTCATGCTTCTGAAATTCCATATCAGGTGAAAAAATTACTCTTCAATGCAGTTGTAATAAAATTGGAAAATTTTTTAGTTCATGATTGCAGTCATTGTTTGAAACTCTTTTTCATCATCATAATTAGCCAGACAGCCTAGTGCCTATCTTTGAATTTTTCCCCCTCTGCGTCTGTGTACAAATGGTTAATTCGAATGTTAGTGATGCTTAGTAAATTAATTTTTTAATGCAGAGTTATCGTTGATTCAATAAATATCAATGTGATGATAAAGATTACTAGCATAGAAAATTACGTGGTTTACCTGGAAACTTTTCTGAATTATTTTAATTTTATACCCCTACCAGCGGACGAAGCTTACATTCTTTATTAAGATAAATTTTTATGTCCATTGCTTGAGAATTTTAAAAAAACAAATTGCTATATAGCACATTTAGAATTTAATAAACTTTTATTTGTGGGAATTAAAAATTTGTTTTGTACGATTTTTTCCATAGATGGCAGCATCATCTCTCATTAGTATGAAAGTCAAATACTAGATGGCGGTAGCGTTTTATTTTGAAAAATTATTTTACTGTTCAATTTGATAAATGGGGTTTCTGTATTTAACGCTGACATCTGGTTAGGTTATAATAAATTTTTAATAACTGATGAGGAATAGGGAAGCAAAAAATTAGAAGTAAACTACAATTATTTTGAAAATTACAGTTGAATTATTTTGTACCAAAGGAACATATAAGTACTTATACTACTGAATTTAAGTTTTTTTTTTTATTTACTTCATTAATTTTTGCAAAGCAGTTGATATTTTTTCTATTAACTTTGATTAACTTCAGGTCAAGATTAAAATATGAACTATATTTTACGTGTTAGAAATAAAAATTATTTTTTTGAAGACATTTATAAAGAATATTTAGAATTACTGTAATTTTTTTCGATTTTTTTTATTTACTTCATTAATTTCTGCAAAGCAGTTCATATTTTTTTTATTAACTTTGATTAATTTCAGGTCAAGATTAAAATATGAACTATATTTTACGTGTTAGAAATAAATAAAAAAATTTTGAAGACATTTATAAAGAATATTTAGAATTACTATAATTTTATTTCGCACTACATTCAATTTGGTTCTCCTTCACTCAAAATTCAATTGATGGAAATTTAAAATAAATAATATATAATTTTTATAGATAAATTTAAGCATAATTCGATTATTCCCTCTTATTTTCCTAAAACGTCAAATATAGTTAACTAACATTTCACAAATTTTTTTCAAAAATAAGTTTAGAATTGCTATTGATTATTACCATTAGGACCCATCTTTTTTTTAAATACTACATAAGCTGATAAGGATAAATTATTTTTAATAATCTTTATATGTATCTTCATAATATTTATTATCTTCAGCACTACTTTCATGTCATGGGACTCGCAAAGACTCGTCTTAAAGCTTAATTATTTAATCTATTGTTATTTAGAAGGGAAAAAAAGAGAAAAACAAGACTAAAATGGGACTA